GGGTAGAAGGGTTTTGTCTTGAGACAAAAACTCTACCTCCCCCTTAATCGCGGACCTCAGAATTTTAAAGATGGAGAGGCAAGAGCATGGGATGTCTCATAAAATGCTCTTCCTGGCTGGACACTGCCCTTCGCCGTCAAGGCGCTTAACCAGCGTTAGCTGCTCCCTGCTTCCAACAAGACGCCACGTGCTCTGGAGGCGCGACCGCCTGGCCAGAGAGCACAGCTGCTCCCCAAGCTCAGGAAGTGGGGACTACGCTTCTGATGTCGTCTGAAATAACTCGCAGCCACTCCCGAACAAGCCCAATAACGGCGTTCTCTTGTTTCCTATCATAGGTCTTCAGGTTTTCTTTTTCTTTCATTAGCTTCCACCGTATGTGTTAAATGGCCCAGGTTTAGGCATCAGGTCACTCTGGTTCCTTTAAAGCGGGGTGTGCACTCCCCATGGGCACCAGCAAGCACGCTGCAGCTCACTGGGAGAGACCTTGTGAACGGAATCAACAGCCACAGAACCACCAAAAACTATCCCAAACCTATTGCTCCCACCGTATCTGCTGCCCGAGTCCAAGCAATCTCTCAGAATTACCTGGAACACTGCAGCTGCTTCCTAGCTCTTCTTCCTGCTTCCAGTACCATCACTTCTCCACCCAACCATCAGCCAGAGAAATCTTTTTAAAAACACAAACTCTGCCCCTTCCAGGGGCTCCCAGCTCGCTCTGAGCCTCCACGGTGGCCGCAAAGGCCCTACACGACCTACCGATCCATTCCCTGGGCCCCCCTAGTACCATTCGTTCCCACCCAAGCTCCTTACCTTCCACGCCTGGCACGTTCTTCCCCCAGCTCCCTTATCTCTCTCACGTCCTGGCTCAAACGTCACTTCCTGGGTGAGGCTTCACCGGCCATGCCCAGAGGGAATTCTTTCCCATGCCCACATGCCCTACCTCACTCCCTTTCCTGCCCTTTTTTCTCTTGACTGCACAGCCACATCTGCCATCATATAAATTCTAGCAGTTTAATTAATTCACTAAAAAGCTCCATGGAAGCTCTAGGAGGGTGGATGGACGGAGGGACGCTCCGTGCCACCTGGGATTCTGACCTGCTGCATTTAAGTGCCTGGCACATAATAGGTGCTTAATTAATATTCCTGAATGCAGGACCTGATCTTGCCTTCCCTGCCGACCTCCCTGACCTCACTCCCACCTTCCCCCAGTGCTCATTCGCTTCCCCCAACAGGCCAAGCTCTGCCTCCTTCCCCGCCTTCCCTTCCGCCTGGAAAGCTGCAGCACCCACCGCTCCACCCCAGGCTCTCCCGTTTCGTACCTGAAATCCCCTTGCTGATCATGAACCCGCTCGTTTACTTTCTGTCTCCACCACTGAGGTGGGATCTCCAGAGCAGAGGCTTCGCGTTGTTCGCAGCTGCTGCCCTGGTGTCTGCCACGCGCTTGGCACATAGTAGGTGCTGCCCAGTACGTTGCAGGTGCAAGCAGCCCAGCTCACGTGGGTCTCCACTTTCTCAAGTATCATAAGAAGGCTGAAGATACTCTGACATCTCTCTGTGCCCTTTATAAAACGCTGACTTTACAGTCTTGTAGCAAGCCTCGTTTACAAAGACCCTCCCGCACGGCAGGTCCTGCAAAGCTCTGGGCCGCAGCTAACGGCGTAATTATCCAGCCGTTGCACCTGAGGAAGCTGCGGACCGTGGCACTGGCCAAGAGGCGCAGCTACTTAACGGTGGAGCTGGGTCTAAAGCCACAGCTCTTGCAATGCTGCTACTGTACCAGCAGAATTAAATAGGCTCCTCTGCTCCCTACAAACAGGTTCAAGGAACCGCGGATTGGCTGGTTTACCACACGCTCAATCCGAGAAAGTGAGCCACGGAGACTTGCATGGTCTTCCCCAGTTTTCCATGAACAGCGGGCGATCTGAGAATGAATGGTCACGCTGCGCACACGAACGCGCCGCTCCGGGCTGACCTGACTACTCCACGCCCAGGTCACTCGCGGAAACGCGCGCTTGTTGCAGCTCACGGGTGCGTCTAAGCCCCGGGACGTGGTTACGCGGAAGCACAGCCGCGCGGAGTGTCCCGCAGGAGGAGGCGCGGTGAGGAGTGTCCACGTCAGCCAGGGTGGACGGCTGCGGTTGGGGCTGGGTGTCGAGAGCCTGCGGGGGTCCCCGCCCTGCGAAACAGTGGTCACGGTGCCGAGCGCGCGGCCACCCACATTGGCACCGGGCTCTC